AAACTAAAAATTAGCATGAAAACTTTCCAAATATTTTTGAGTATTTCTGAAAAATATTCTAATTATATCGTATAAAAATTGAGAAAAATTTTCATCAGGGAAAATATGACATAGCATTTTTAATTGGCTATAGCGGCTAATTTTTGGTTGTGTTAGCCTATTCATAATGCCAATATATGATTTCGACAGGCTATCAAAAATTGTCTACTGAAACTATTAATTAAATTATTAATTAAAAATACTATATCATATTTAGCCAATCTTTTCTTTCGGTGTATATGCAGTTATGTTAAGATTAAAAGACGGAAAGTCTTTATCTGTCATTTGTGATTTTATAACTGTAAAAAGAGAAAAAAGAAGAAAATTGTAGATTGTCGTATCTATCACGTGTAAAATAATTTTATCGTGCATTACTAGGTTAGGATTTTCTACTAGACTATGCTGACACAGCGTAATTTCAGCAAACAAGCGCGTTTTTATTATTATTATTATCTATATATATTATTTTGTCATTATGTTGTTTTGTTATATTATTTGTATTTTGTATAATCGCCAAGTTTCATTTTCAAATTGAGCGATTCAGTATTATTACAATATATATAGTTAATAACCGCAAAAATTATCATTTGGAGTATATTCCAGCATAAAATCATAGAAAGAGAGAGAGATAACGATAAAAAAAAGTTCATATAATGTTGCGAGTTCCAATCGAAAACAGTAACTGTAAAGAGGTAATAATCGGCCAATTGTTCTTGACTACTTGACAGTCAGTTGTACCATACAATTTGTTAATGACAAGAGACCCTCGAGATGAAGTATCCACGGCTTACCGACAAGTGCTACCGAACGAAGCCCGCTACGAGTGCACTTGATAAAGTAACATCGTTTCCCTCACTATCTGTATTTATTTATGCAGTGGTTCGCACAGATAAGCCAATTTTCGTAACGTAATATTAATAACTGTAATTATTGCGGCAGAGACACCATCTCGCGTAAAAAAAATCGCGTTAGGCGTTATCATAAAAATCAATGACATTAGATGATGAAAACTACTTGTGGGAAAATTATTTAATGCGATCCACGATGATGCAATTTAATCGCAGGACGTCGAATATCGTCGTCGTGTAATTTTTTCGTTAAATTACCAGAAGGCCACGTGACACTGTTTATCTATCTCCATCCAGCACATCTATAACATATGGATCTAATCTCCGCTTATCGCGGTTAAAGCGATAAGAGCAAATTGTTGCGTCGCGAAAATGGACGCGCTCGCGGTATCTCCAATAATTTTATAAAAAGGTGGGATAAAGAAATTGCGAGCGTCGTAATCGTAGTATGTAAAAGATTGATATAATTTTGAGCAACAGAAAAATTTATGACTTGAAAGATAAGGGGGTTGTAACGAGCGATTAATCATTTTGCCTGCTATTGATTTAGATTATTTTTATCATCGATTGTGTATTGACGATGCGTATTGTGAGTCTTAGTTGATATAATAATGCAGTAATCGTTAAATAATTTGCAAAAAGTATATTTATACGGTTAAATAATTTATTATCGTAAGATCAACAGTGTCTACATTTAATAATATTATAAAATAATCTCTTAAATATACATTCATAAAAAGGAAGATAATAACTATATTACTCATTACAATATCATAAGTATAGATTATAAAACCTATACATCGCACCGCCGATCTTTGTACATTTTGATGATCGGAATTAAAATAATCAAAATTACAGATACAAACAAATAATAAGCATCTGTAATAATACTTATTTCATGATCATCATTGACCGAGAAATGCGATCGTTTCAAAAAAGAATATGTACTGAAAGAAAAAATGGCTGCAATTTAGATGGTAAAATATAGCATAGCATTGTTAATTGGCTGCTGCAGCCAATTAAAAATGCTATGCCATATTCAGCCAATCTTTTCTTTCAGTATGTACATTAGATATTTTTATTATACTGTTAAAAGAATGACACACATAATTATAACTTAAATAAAATGCTAAATTGAAAAAGTTAGACGACAGTGCTTTAACTAGTGTATGAAACTATGACATTTTTGTTTCGCTTTGAGAAATAGATTTAGAAAGTGTTGACTTACGAAGCGTTTTGTATACGTCTATCTCAACGTAGTCTTTTTTAAGTATAAAGAAAAAGTAAAAAATTTGCATTATAAAAATATGCGCGTCGATAAAAATGAATTTATGCTGATTTCTTATTAGAACATTTATTTGATAAGTAAGCGAATGTATCTAAAAAGAGAATCAATTCAACGGTGTTTTGGAGATAACATGCAAAACTTTATATATTTTCGCACGTGCTACGTTTTGCACTATCGCATTGAATAAAAATAACATTCAATTTATGATCGCAATTACGTAATTGTCAAGAAAAACAAGATGTTTTGTCTAAATACACTGAAAGAAATAATTGGATGGTTCAGCAATTTAGATGATAAAATATAACATAGCATTTTTGATTGGCAAGGTCAATATGATTTCGATAGGCTAACGCAACTGAAAATTGATTGTTGTAATCTATCAAAAATGATATGCCATATTTTACCATCTAAATTATCAGGCACCAGCCAATTTTTTTCTTTCAGTGTATGATAATGCTTCCGTACTTTAAACGTATTGCTATGAGATTTAGATGCAGTTACATCTACTTGTCTACAAAGTTTCCGTAATTTTGTAAAGCTTATCACTCAACTAGATTTAAAAAAAATCAACCAGATTCAAGCTTATCACTCAATCAGATTAAAAAAAAACTCAAAATACATATACATTTCGGAGATACGAATAAAAATCAATTGTTCAATTAATTTTCCGCTATTTAAGTGTGATTTCAAGTAACATGCGGATTTAAAGTGATCTAGGATTAGTAAACATTATTTTTTCCTCTCACATCGTGTAGACTAATTATTATAGAGAATGATTGAGCTTGAGTGAATGTGACGGTCTATTTTGAATCAGTTATACTTTGGACAATTACAGTTCAGATGAAATTTTCCAGAGAAACGCAAACGTCTCTAAATGACGAAATATCTACAAGCATCTTAATTCGTTAAATAATTTTGAAGAGTAATAATTGACAAGCAACTGCGATGATTCGAAGATCTATACAAACCCGACTTCTATTCAGATAAACATTTTGATTATCTGATATCTCTTTGTTATATCTTGACGATGAACAGTTATCTATTATTCGAAATCATGTTTAATCTTCAACAATTGCGTAACTGTCAATGACGTTTGATACGACGCGATATTGTGTATCGTAGTGATTTTTTCTCTATCTTCTCTTTTTTGGTTTGCTTTTGTTAATCGACTATTTTTTTTTGCGACGATTCATGTGTTTGACTTTTACTCTCATGTTTGTACTGTGCTTCTCCACTACTGCATCTTTGTTAGTCTGCCTGAATTTCGAGTCTGTTAAAACAAACATATCGATTCTTTGAAGTAAGTAGATTTTGAAATGAGTAGATTTATAATTAATCCTGGATATACACATTGAGGTCCCAAAAACTCCAATGCAATTTACTAAATCGAGATTTTTTTCGTCTTTCTGAACGTTTCTTCTCATTTAAACCTATATATCTCAAAGCTCCTTAATTCTAT